GTATGGTGGTGGTGGAGGAGAACTGTAGACATATGGTGGGGGTGGAGAACTATAGACATATGGTGGTGGTGGAGAACTGTAGACATATTGTGGTGGTGGAGAACTGTAAACTGGTGGTGGTGCGGAACTGTAGACATATGGTGGTGGAGGAGACTTCTAGTCTACCTTAGGAGATGTGTAGTATGGTGGTGGTGGAGGACAACTGTAAACATATGGTGGTGGTGGAGGACAACTGTAAACATATGGTGGTGGTGGAGAACTGTATACATATGGTGGTGGAGGATATTTGTAGTCTACCTTAGGAGATGGTGAATAGTATGATGGTGGTGGAGGAGAACTATACACATACGGTGGAGGAGGTGACTTGTATTCAACTTTAGGAGATGGTGCGTAGTATGGTGGTGGTAGAGAACTGTAGACATATGGTGGTGGAGGAGTTTTGTAGTCTACCGTAGGAGATGATGAGTAGTATGGTGGTGGTGGAGGAGAACTATACACATACGGTGGAGGAGGTGACTTGTATCCAACTTTAGGAGATGGTGTGTAGTATGGTGGTGGTGGAAAACTGTAGACATATGGTGGTGGAGGAGATTTGTAGTCTACTGTAGGGGATGGTGAGTAGTATGGTGGTGGTGGTGGAGAGTTGTAAACATACGGTGGTGGAGGAGAGTTGTAAACAATCTTAGGAGATGGTGAATAGTATGGTAGTGGTGGAGAGTTGTAGACATATGGGGGTGGAGGAGACTTGTAGTGTATCTTAGGGGAAGGAGAGAAGTATGGTGGTGGTGGAGAGCTATAGACATATGGTGGTGGAGGAGATTTGTAGTCTACCTTAAGGGAAGGGGCGTAGTATGGTGGTGGAGGAGATTTGTAGACATATGGTTGTGGAAGAGATTTGTAGTCTACCTTAGGGGAAGGGGCGTAGTATGGTGGTGGAGGAGATTTGTAGACATATGGTGGTGGAGGAGATTTGTAGTCTACTTTAGGGGATGGTTAGTAGTATGGTGGTGGTGGTGGAGAGTTGTAAAAATACAGTGGTGGAGGAGACTTGTACACAATCTTAGGAGATGGTGAGTACTATGGTGGTGGTGGAGAGTTGTAGACATATGGGGGTGGAGGAGACTTGTAGTGTATCTTAGGGGAAGGAGAGAAGTATGGTGGTGGTGGAGAGCTATAGACTTATGGTGGTGAAGGAGATTTGTGTTCTACCTTAGGGGAAGGGGCGTAGTATGGTGGTGGTGGAGATTTGTAGACATATAGTAGTGGGGAAGACTTGTACTCAACCTTAGGGAATGGTGAATAATATAGTGGATGTAGTGATGGGAAATTAGACATATGGTGGTGGGGGGGATTTGTATTCTGACCTTTGGAGATGGTGAGTAAGATGGTGGTGGTGGTGAGCTATACGTGTAGTGCTCATACGCTTCAACCATTGTTGCCATGACGATAACTCCTATAGCGTAAGTAAGATGGGCTGAAGGTCCCATCCTAGAAGAAGATCTCATCGTGATTTTGATGTTCTTTACCAACGCCTAACTACGTTGGTTATTTTTGTTGTTTATCTTTGTGTATTAAGGAATGAGTTCATGGGTTTATATGACAAATATTTTCTCTAAATCCAGCTCTACTATTATTTTATTTTTTTGCCTTGTTGTTTTGTATTCCATCCAACTAATTCATGGAGACATGTCACACGATGCTTGTGGGAGACGTGCAAGAACGTCTATCGAACCTCTACGAGCTACTTCCATTTTTTATTACAAGCTCAAGAAGAATTTTCTATAGTATGGATGCATCTTTTTTGTTCAATTTAGGTTAAAACCCCAACGATAATATATGATGATAGAGCAGGAATAAGCACATTCCTTTGATTCCGTCACAATTAATAATATTATGCAAATCGGCCCGTTTTCCACTTCCTCCTCAAAGAAGAGGAAGTACTTGGAGAAAAAGATTACTTCCAAGAAAAATGGAAAGAGATAAACACCAAAGAATAATATTTCCAAAAAAAATATGGAAGAATATCTTGAAGAAGCGGACCTCCTCTCCATATAAATAGAAGACCCCTCATTTCTTGAAGACCATCCACAAATATCATCATTCATCCAGAAATATTCAGAAAACCCTAGTTATAATTCGTTTTTGTTCTTAGTTTCTTTACTTCTTTTTGTATTATCACCCCTTGTTCCATCTTTATCTTTGGTTGATCTAATAAAGAGACTCTCCTAATTCCACATCTCTTATCTTACTATTACTCATGTGATTTTGAGATCTAACATATGATTAATGATTTTTGTTTTAAAATGCTTTTAAATCAACAATGTATGTAATTTATCTTAACATTAAAACCAAAAAAAAAGACAATGTAATTGGCCAAAGGTGTGGAATGCTCATGTACATTATATATTGTGAAATTGCGAGTACAAAATCTAGAGGAAGTCAAACTGTTGAGATAAACACTATTGAAGTGACTATAAGAATAAAGTCGCATATCTCTCTAAAAACTGCTCCGCCATTAGGCTCTTACTTCCCATGAACGCTCTGTAGAGGTCCATCGTTGAGATTGCCTCTGAGTCTCGTCTGACCATACTACTTGTGGGCTGTCGCCAAATCAAAACTCGTCAAACTACACTAAAGACAATGTTTATTACAACCCAAAAGATAGTAAAATTATACACGAAAGTAAAACTGAACCCAAACCAAACTTTTAAGGGTTATGATAAAAAAAATTACGTAATATACCAAAGTATAGAAAATTCGACCAAAGTACCAACCTTAATTTGTCTTAAAGTTTATGTTTTCTAGAGGTAAAAAGTGAGCTGTTAAGCGAGAAAGTAAGAGTATTAATAAAAAAATATATACAAGTAATACAGCCTGTCCAACTTCGGGTCCCTTATTTTTTCGTGAGATCAACAGTAGTCTTTCAGTGTAGTAAATCCTGGTATTATTGTGTTTACCAAAAAAAAAAAAATCTTGGTATTATTGTAAGCTAAAATAAAACTTTTTTTTTTTAGTAATTGAACTCAAAACCTATGCCTTCTTCATGTTTTCATATAGTGCAAATTTCTGTTTGTGTTAGGTTACATGAACTTGCTCAGTTGCTTGGAATCTTGGCTGCAACACTCGATACTAGAAGAAAAGAGACACAGTGAGTAGCTTGTCAAATACCACATGTACTTAACTCACCAAATGTTATATCATCATCAACATGAGAGGATAACAAAATTAGAACAAGTAGAGAAATCACATGATTGTATAGAGAACTGGTTATAACTTTTTCTTTCAGTGCTTGGAGGCACATGATGACGATGCGTAGGATTCGGACTAAAAGTTTGTGGTTCTTGCAGGGGCGGAGCTAGTAATTAAGGATACTAGGGATTAAAGCCCCGCGCAAGCGCGGGGTTGTTCGAGATAATTTTTCTGTTTGATTTTATTTATATTCATTGATTTGAAATTTTGAATTATGATGGTTATATGTTAACTTTCATGTTTTGGTTATATTTTGAGTTAACCAACAATTAACACTAACAATATGATCAATTTTTTTTATTAAGATATTAACACATTTCTTCATCTCGAGTTTTCTATTTCTAAAATTTAATATGCATTTGACTCAACGTTAAAATTTGTAAACATGATGTAGATCGCAATTGCACTCAAAATATGATGAAAAAGAAAACATGTATAAGTTCTTACATATATGCTTTATTGTGGTAGCATGTGAGAATTGATTATTTTCTATTATGTTAGTTTTGTAGATATAAATTGTATTTTTGAAACAAACATATCACCATTCTTAAAATTTTCATGCTTTTCGTTGCAATGAAATTTAAATAATAACTCGACTTCTATTTTTTAATAAAACAAACTCTAACTCTAATTTTTATTAGCTTTTTACTATGTTAAATAATTTATAATGTACCTTTTTTACTTGTAAGTACATTATAACATTTTTAAATAGGATAAATCATTTGAATTAAAACTTAACTATATACTATTTCAAGTTAAATATTTATTTATTTCATCTCCATTTTATATTACAACTTTTTTTAACTTTTAACATCAAAGATATCACATACTTTATATTAATCAATTAAATTGTTTTGTATTTTTCTTAGTTTTGTTTATGTGTAAAACAGGAATATATATAAATAAATATTAATACACATATATTAAATATCTTAAATACAATTAATGATTTTTTTGCTGATGTGGATGGCCTAGGAGGAGAGAGCAACTCTCCTATTATATATAAGATTGGGTGGTTAGCTGACCCCCACTAATTTTTTTTCTTTCTCTTATTACTTTAATCAAAAATTTAATGACTCTGTTTTAAATTAATAATTGACTCCTTTAAAATATCTATACTATATAAAAGTCTGAGAGCATCCACATCAGCTTTTAAAAAACCAATTAAATTTCGCCAAATAAGCATTTTAATTTCAAAATCGAAAATTAAATATTTTTTTGAGAAAAATTACAATTATTGTATCAAGGAATGGAAATTGTACTATTTTGAATTTTAATACTTACATTATTTAACTTCTATACTACATAAAAGTTGAGGCTATAAGCCTCTGAGAGCGTCCACATCAGCTTTTAAAAAACCAATTAAATTTCGCCAAATCAGCATTTTAATTTTAAAATCGAAAGTTAAATAATTTTTTGAGAAAAATTATAATTATTGTATTAAAGAATGGAAATTGTACTATTTTAATTTTAATACTTACATTATTTCCCTTAACCTATTATTTAAAATAGTTAATAGAAATTTAACATAAAAAATAGTTAAACTAACAAAAATAACATATTATTAGAAAAGCTAAACTAACTAATTAAAATAAAAAGGAAATAAACAATTTTACTATTTCAATGTTTGGCATTGGCTATAAATAGCCCTCTAAACTTTAGAATACATATACAAGAGTTCTAAAGACAACCACATTCTTCTTCTTCTTGAGAGAGAGAGAGAGAGAGAGAGAGAGAGTATTTAAATAGCTATGTCTTCTTCCAGCTCTTCTGTTTCTGATCAGTTACGGCATCCTTTTGTTTTCGATGAACTCACTAAACGATTTTGTAAGAAAGAGCTGCTTGCTAGAGTCATCCACTTATGGGAGGCAAGGAATACTAAAAAAGAAGGTCTGCTTATGGGATATGAACTGCTTCTAATCGATCAAAAGG